AGGCCCACCTGCTAGCCAGGGTGCCCAGCTGATCCTCCTAGACCTTCCTCACCATGGAGATGTGGTTGAGGCCTGCCTGCTAGCCAGGGTCCCCAGCTGATCCCCCTAGACCTTCGTCACCATGGAGATGTGGTTGAAGCCCACCTGCCAGCCAGGGTGCCCAGCTCATCCTCCTAGATCTTCCTAGTTCTGGCAGTGAGAGGTTGAACCGAACAGGACCAGAGGGTATAGAGTAGAGGGCAACAGGTATCAAAGCCCGAGCAGGTATCTCAGTAAGAGCATCTCTCTCTGTGGCCCTGCTCCCCTGTGTCCACCCCTCAGCCTTGCTGTGCATCAGTCACTCAGCTCCATCCGGGAAGGTGCTGCCTCTGACTTTGCCTTGTTCTGCTTTTGGATGTAGAATCTGACCAATGAGGAGCAAGTGGTTGTCATACAAGCCAGGACGGTCCTGACCTTGGCCGAAAAGGTAAGGTGCAGAAACTGGGGGACAGCTGGGCTTCTGCCCAGGGAAAATCCTCTGCCTGGGAAGGGGTTAGATTGTGGCGGGGTCCCTTGAGTTCCGTCTGTCCCAGGAGACAGGCACCCCTCACCTAGTGCCTGCCATGCACCTCTGCAGAGGGTAGATCATCCAGACACACCAGATGCCAGCTCTGCCTGGGTCCCCTCCCAGAGACTGGAAGCTGGGTGGAGTCTATGGGATGGACCTCCAGGACCTTCTCTGGAGCTGTCCAGTCCACCCACCTGCTCCTGGCCCCACCTCTGGCCACACCAGACTTGGGGCTGCTGTCAGCACCCTCCTCAGGCCTCCAGCAGCAGGGGAGGGGGTGCCTAGCAAATGGGGCTTCCAGGAAGGCGCCCACCCTTCTCCACCTCTCCTGGCAGGGCTCTGCAGAGGCATCTCTTCCTGCTGCATCCCAGACCCACATCCACCCTCTCCCAGGGGCCAGTATTCCTGGACACTAGATAGGGTGTGCAGAGCCCGTGTTGGGGCCAGCCCAGTCCTGACTCCCTTCCCTGAACCAGGCCTCCCTCCGTCCTCTCCCAGGTTGTGTCCATGGATCAGGGGGAGGGGTGGCTTAGGTATCTCTCAGAGTGGCCCCAGGGGACTCTGTCACGGGCTCACTCTGTTTGTGCCCAGTGGCTCCAGCGGATTGAAGAGACAGAGTCAGCACTGCAGCGGAAGATGGTGGATCTGGAGAGCGAGAAGGTGGGTGGTATCTCCCCCGCCACATGGCCCTGTGTCACATCCCAGGACTGGATGCCCGAGGCCCAGCCCTGGTTCTCCGTGTTTCAGGAGCTGTTCAGCAAACAGAAGGGCTACCTGGATGAGGAGCTGGACTACAGGAAGCAGGCCTTGGACCACGCCCACAAGGTAAGGGGGACCAGGCTGGGGGACTTGCTCACACACTCATCCCGGGCCAGAAAGGGGTCCACCTCTGCCCTTCTCCCTCAAGAGCACCAATGAGTGAGTCCTGAGGATCTTTACTGCCCTGCTAGCCAGCGGTTCCACCGCCAGCCCATGACCACTCCAACAGGGTGTGGAATGAGGTGATAAGGTAGAACTCACTGGAACAGCTCCTGTGTCGATAGGCTTTTTGTCACCATGACGGGTGTGTCTTTTGGCTCACGGTGTCAGCATTGCAGTCCACAGTTCCTTGACCCAGCACTGTGGGCTGGTGGGGAGCAGGACCATGATGGCAGGGAGGTGTGGTGCAGCAGAGCTACTCACCCCACTGTGTCCAGGAAGCAAAGAGAGTGTGTGCCTGTGTGTGTGTCAGTCAGCTTTCTGTCACCCAGAAAGAACAACTTAGAGGAAGAGAAGCTTATTTTGGGCTCATGGTTTTAGCGGTTCAGTCCACGGTCACTGAACAGCATTGCCCGGGGCCTGAGGTGCAGCCGAGCATGGCAGAAGGCACGGAGGAGGAAAGCCGCTCGGTTCACGGCACCCAGGAAATAGAGAGCAAGGCAGGAGCAGGGACAAGATACAGTCCCCGAAGGCACATCCCCAGTGACCTGCTTCCTGCAGCCCTGCCCTACCTGCCAGGTCATCACTCAGTAATCCACTCACACTGTTGATCCATCGAGTGGACTAACTACCAGGGACTAACTACCCGACCCTGATTCAGCCTTCACCTGAACGTAGCTTCGCTGCCCAACACATGCTGCGCTCAGCTGGCTTAGCCACTTGCCGGCAGGGAGGCCTGAGCCCGTGACTTGGCTTCTCATGGCAACTAAATATATTGGTTCCTGTCTCCTGGAGTCATTGGGAGAATAAAGGTCACTATGTGAAGAGCGGTCATGCTGGCCTGGTCCACCACTGCTGTCCCGGTTGGGGAATAGCAGCTGTTTCTATTGTCCCCACCAGGCCCAGGGGGGCTCTTCCTGAGCTGAGGGTGGGCTTCCTGGGGTCTGGGGTACGCCCTCTGCTGGGTGAGGTCTCCCAGTCAGGGAGGAGGTGGCCTCCTGACCTTAGAAGGCTCTCAAGTCTGTGTGCACCTCCCTTGCTCAGGGGGCAGGGGGATGTAAAAGAGATATGCCCTACCGAGGACCAGAAAGCTCTGGGTCCCCAGAGCTGAGGGTCTCCCTGAGGCCACACACACTGACTCACAGAAATAGGCACCTGCCCAGCCAGGCCCTGCCCTCCAGAGCAGCCTGATCGCCGCCTCACCTGGACCTTTATAAACACAGGCTGGTGGAGAAGGCCCGAGTGCACACTGGGCAGGAGAACGTCCTTTCACAAGGGGTGGACTCGGCCTGGAGGGAAGCCTGAATCCTAAGCATTGCTGCCATCTGTGTAGCCACTGTCCCCCTGTCCTCCTGAGGGGCCAGGGAAGCCAGTGCCCTCTGCTGGAGTTTCCACTACAGACGCCTGCTTGTCTGCAGGGGTGGGGTCTGGTTCCACTTAGTCCCCTGTGGCCGGCAGGAGCACAGGGAGCTTCCAGGTTGAAAACTAGGCTGGAGGACTGAGTGATGGTGATGACGGTGGTGGGCACGATGGTCCTGCTGAGGGGGAGGGATGGTGGGACGGTGGTGACAGGGATGGGGTCAGCCACTTTGTGGTGCCATCCTTGTTTTTGACACTCAATGTGTGAGCATGGCTCTTTTCACTGTACGATGAGACTCTGCTGTCATATTGGGTCTGTCATTCATGAGGGCCACAAAGAACGATCTCAGAGTGACCTTAAGTGAGCAGTGGTCTGTGGGTCCCTGGGTTCCCCCACATCCTCTGTGGCTCTGCAGGAGGAAGACTGTGTGGGTTGCTGACGGTACAGACCTTGCTTCTGCACCTGGAGCAGGCTGCGGGGCCGTTGGTCTTGCTGAAGTCAGAGGCCCGTGGCTCGTGCACTGGTAGAGTCCTTGTCAGCCGGGGGTGGCCATCAGTCTCCTCCAGCAGGCGTGGGCCAAGCCTCTGTGAGGTTGATCCCAAGGTGTCCCTCATCCATTCTTGTTCTAAAAGGCCGGAGCTCGAGGAGCGGCTGAGTGCCGAGCACTTTCCTGGCATGCCCAGCCCGGGTTGTCCCCAGCACTGCACAAGCACACGCGCACACACAGCTGAAGCCCATCTTAAGTATATTAAGCCCCTCTGCTCTGAGAGGTGGTGATCGGTGTGAGATTGAGTGCAGGACAGCAGGGACATTTATTTTGTGGCCATCAGCAACAATACCATGCCACGTGTAATAGGCCCAGAAGGAGTTGGGTTTTTTTTTCATTTCCTAAAATTTTTGCTCAACCAAAGGGATTTTCACCATCATTTGCCTGCAGAGAAGGGAACACATGTTTCTGAATGAAGAAAGGGCTATCAAAATGAGAATTCTGGTGAAAATTTGAGACTTGTTTTCCTAAAGAGCTCATCAGGTGGCTGGGGCTGTAGCTCAGTGGCAGAGCGCTTGCCTCGCACACATGAGGCACTGGGTTTGATCCTCGGCGCCACATAAAAATAAACAAATAAGGATATTGTGTCCATCTACAACTAAAAATATTTAAAAATAAATAAATAAATAAATGGAGAGCGCATCAGAACTGTCCTGCAGAGGGCGCTCTCCAGGTCAAGTCCAGACCTGGGATCAGGAGCGGAGCTGGCTGATGGCGAAGGGGAAGGCGTGCCTGCAGGGATCCACGGAGGTCCCTCAGTCCCACACTGGAGATTTGAGAAAGGAGGGGGTGTGCCCTGCTGAGAGTCCCCACCCTGTGTCAGGACCTGCTCCTGGCCATGCTGCCCGGTGACCCCCAGCTCACACTCTGACTGTTGGGGTGTCATCCCTACCTGGGGTTGGGTCCTGGCTCAGACTCCACCCGTTAGCTTCTCCTCCCCTGGGTTCTTCTGCTGGACAGGAAGGTGGCCCATGGGTTCCAGGTCCTCCCCAGAGACCTGTGGGCACACTGTGGCCCCGACTGCTCAGCCCTCCTCCCCAGGCTGGCGGTGACCTGGCCTCCCTATTCTTCCTGAAAGGTGGGCTGTGCAGCCCCGGGGAGGGCGGGTCACGTCTGGGAGAAGGTGGGGACTGACGCGCCTCCCTCCGCCCAGCACATCCTGGAGCTGGAGGCCATGCTGTTCGACGCCCTGCAGCAGGAGGCCGGGGCCAAGGTGGCTGAGCTGCTGTCGGAGGAGGAGCGCGAGAAACTGCAGGTGGCTGTGGAGCAGTGGAAGCGCCAGGTCCTGAGTGAGCTGCGTGAGAGGGACGCACAGATCCTGCGGGAGCGCATGGAGCTGCTGCACCTGGCCCAGCAGGTGCGCAGACGGAGGCCAGAGGCCTGGGTCCCGCCTTCCACAGGCCACCATCTAGTGGCCACACCCCTGGCCAAGCCCTCTAACGCCCATACCCTTCCACGGCCCTGGCCTCCTCCAGCCTTCTGCCAGACTGCCTTCCCCGCCAGAGGAGGTCCCCACTGCGTTCTGAGACCCTGGTGGGTCCCTTTGTTCAGAGCGCTGCCTCCCAGGTGTCCATGGTGCTGCCCCTGATGGCAAAGCTGTGGTCTGGGACAGTGGCCAGCCAGTCTCACTCTAAGGGGAGGCCAAGAACCCTGGTGGCCTGTGTGGCCCTGATGGTTACCATGCTCCCCAGCTCCCATGGGAGTGCCTGGAAGGGGCTCCTGTGGATGCGTTCCACGCTAAGAACGCCTTGTGAGGGTGCAAAAGGTTCAGGTTGCAGACCTAGGTCAGCTCTGTGTTGGTCTCCTTGGTCTCCAGGGTGGTCAGGGTGAGGGTGGTCGCTGCAACCCCCTCGCTCCATCAAACAAGCTGTGGTCAGTGCTCAGCTGCTCCCAGGGTCCCTTCCAGGGTCCCAGGCTCTCCTTGGGATCAGCAGTTATGACCGCAGCCTCCCTTTGCTCTGCTGGAAGAGCCTTGGGAAGGACAGTGGACTGACTCCTCACCGTCACCTTGGGTGTCTGGCTGCCTTCCTGCTCCTCCTCCTCCTTCTCCTTCCTCTTCCTCCTTCCTCCTTCTCCTTCTTCTTTTCCTATTTGCTCAGTTTCTCAAACACTCTGATTATTGAAGGGTTTCCTCCTCCTACCATTGCAGAGAATTAAAGAGCTAGAAGAAAGAATAGAAGCTCAGAAGAGACAGATCAAGGAGCTGGAGGAAAAGGTAACATGAACGCAGCCCTCCTCTGTGCAGCGCCTAGATCATGGATACAGAGTAGCAGGTCCCTCCCACCAGAGCCAGTGAGCGGCCTTGGCCACCCTCCTGCGCCAGGGTGGAGTGGAGCAGAAAGGGGCACCCGAGTGGGAGCTTCCAGGAGCCTGGGTGGAGAAACAGGCGCTCCCTCCAGTGAGCTGGCCTGCAGCCGCAGTGGGCATGCTTCCCTGGGCCTCAGCTTCCCCCCTGCAGCGGTGTGTGGTGGTCGAATGGCCCAGGGCCCCTCCAGAAGTGCCGGGTGGTGCTCAGACCCTGGACCCTCCCCTGACACTGGCAGACGCAGGCCGCCGTCAAGGCCCCTGTCAAGGCGGAAGCCCACCCTGGCTCTTGGGGTCGGCTGCCCTCAGGACCCTTCTTTCTCTGCATGCAACTTGGGGGCTGGTTCAGTGGTTTCTGGGGTCAGATATTTTCTCAGCAAATGGTACTGCTTGTCGGACAGGTTTCACCAAAGTGACCAGCTCCAAGAGTGAAGTGGCCAGTGGGACCCCCATCTGTCCCTTCCAGGGGGAACAGGAGACTGTCATGTGGACAGGGCCTCCCTAAGATACACCTTGGATGCTCCCTACCCTCCAGGAAAGAAAGGTCCCTCCATACAGCAGCCCTCTGGCAGCCGGCCACAGTCCTTCCCCGCACCCAGCCGGGCCCTGTCCGCCCCTCAGTGGGCTCCAGTGCTTCAGCTGTCCTCACCTGGGTGCTCAGATCCACTGTGAGGACCGGGCCCTAGGGCTGCTCAGGGCACTGCCTGTAAAACAGTTTCCTTCAGGGACTGGGACACTGGTAAGGTCCAGAGGAACACAGTTCTTGGGGCACAAACCTCAATGAGGCCTAGGTCTCCCCAAACCCGTGTCAGCTCCATCATGCTCTCCCCACAGGGCGTCTGTTTGTGCTCGGCACCAGAGCAGTTCTAAGTCCAGGGCATGGGTCTAAGTTTAGCTGAAGTAGCTCTTCATTGCCAGGTTTTCTCTAGAAGGGTCTGGCTTTGCCCGCAAGGTGAGGCTTCAAAACGTGAATCTCTGCAGGGTGTCGTTGCATTTGATGGCTCAGAGTGGCACCATGACCCAAGTCTTGTCAGGAGATCTTGTTTGCCAGGCACCCAGAATCCGTCTGTGAGGCTGCAGCCACCACAGCCGCCTGCTTGTTCTCTTTGCATAGACCCCCAGTCCCCAGAGGCTCCCCCACCCTGTCGTGCAGGAGCCCTGGCTGTCCACACCCCTGACCCCCAAGAGGCTCACCCTGCCCTGCCATGCTGGGGATGCACTGGGTGTGGGGACCCTGCTGCACACACCTCTGACCCTCAGGTCAGAACCTTGTCCTGCCATGCTGGGGACCTGGCTGTCCACACCTCTGACCCTCAGAGGCTCACTTGTCCTGTCGTGCAGGGGAAGGGTGGGTGTGGGCCCCCGCTGCACACCCAGCCCGGCTCTGGACGGTGCTGGTCCCTGAGTGCATCCTGGGGTGGCAGCACCCTGGTTCCCACAGTGTGCCCTGAAGGTGCCAGCCCTCCCCAGCCAGCCCCCGTCTTACTGCCTGAAACCAGTCATTTCTCGCCAGAAACTCTACAAACTCTTTTTTCTCTCTCTCTCCTCTGTTTCCCCATCCTCCCTTTTCCTTTTCAGTTTTTATTTTTGTTCTTATTTTTCTCCCTAGCTTTCATTCTCTGGTCATAGCTGGCCTTGGCTCTCTGATGTGGTGAGTACCTCGCAGGCTGCATTTGGGACAAGGGTCCCGCTCTGCTTTGGAGAGACCACTGTGGCTCTGCCCACAGGCACCTGCCTGCCAGCAGTCTGAGAAGCTGGAGGGCCCCTCCAGGACTTCCACAGCCCCTTAGAATGCCACTGTGCCCTCCAGAGCCACAAGTCCCTCCCAGGGTAAGGTCCACCAAGGGTGCAGGGCACGCCTGCCCCAGGGTTGGAGACCCAGCATTGGACAATAGACAGCCTCTTCTGCAGTAGAACGGTTACTTTATGACTTTCCTTTATCTTCCTCTGGTAGCTCCCCAGCACCAGCCTGGGTCCTGCGTCCCCTGACACATGGGCTCTCCCATAGCCACATGAACGGTAGCAGCCCACGGGCCTCTGGCTGCCTGGTCACCCCCTCCCGCCCACACCAGATGAGCAGGCACAAGGGACACCACACCCTGTTTTCTTGGTCTGTGGGCCCCAGGCTCCAAGGATGCCAAGCAGGCCCTTCCTGGAGAGCGGTGGCCACCCTCCCAGATGGCCCCTGCCCCTCTGATTCCTGTGCTCTGCATCTGTGTTTTGCAGTCCCCCTCAGAGTCGGACCACTGTCCTTCAGCGGGACCAGAGAGTGGTGGGTGCTGGCAGCGAGACAGGACATTGCATCTCATTCCTGAAGACCCAAGAGGGTTGACCTCTGCACAGCTGTCCTGTGGAGGACGAGGGGGAAGGGACACTAAGTGGGGGCCACTGTCTGCTTGGGATGAGCCAGGATTAGAACTAGTTTTGCTGCCTGGGGCTTCTCTGGGAGAGGCCTGGCCTTGGCTGCTGGGTCCTGGGGTCCCTCCTCTCAGAGAGCAGTCCCCATCCTGGTCACAAGGATGTGTGACATTCCCTGCCAAGCAGGGGTAAGCCCGCTCCTGCACGGGAGCAAGCCCTGGGCCACCCTCCTCTGGTTCCTGTGGTAATTGCTAGTGTTCTTGGAGGAAGATCTTCAGAAACAACACAGGCCTGTCCCCAGGAGAGGGTGAAGCCCCTGGTTTCCTGGTGACCTCATTCAGGGAGGGCTCATCAGGGACGACCCTAGGCTCCCGGGCACCTCAGGTGCACACAAGGCCAATGCTGTGACCCTTGTAGAGGTCCTGAGCACTTGCAGAGGACAGACCCACACCTGCCCTTGTTCTGTTTCATTGCCATCTCCGTGGGGACAGATGAGGGCTGTGGCCACTGCTGAGCCTCCTCACCCCACCCCAAGACATGAAGGCGGGAAACCCTGAACTGCTGGCCAGGAGCACAGTGGCCCACCAGAGCGGGATGGAGAGTGTGGGGAGCCAGAAAGGACCCTGCCTCAAGGAAAGCACACAGAAAAACAGCCGAGGACTGTCGCCCAGACACCCAGCCCAGAGAGCCCTCTGCGGGGCCTGAAGGCTGCCATCCCCACGGGAGCCGAGGCTGCCCCGTCCAAAGCATCTGCATGCCAGGAGCAGGCCCAGGGGAGGAGACAGCAGCACCTGGCTTTCTACGGACCTCAGAGAGGAGCCCAGAGTCCAGGGCCTGCAGGTGAGGTGGACAGCTGTCCTCTGGGAGGGCCTTCTTCCTGTCCTGTTTGGTGGTCCCAGTGTGGGTCAATGTGCCCGCTGCTTCTACTCTTCAAAATGTGAACGGGGTCTCCCTCTGCCAGGGGAGCGGGTGTCTCCACCTCTGCCTGCACATGCGCAGACCCCCCTCCTCTCCTCATGCCCACGCACACCCCAGCCCCCTGCCAGTGCCCTTTGGGGACCCACCCGAGCCGTCGTGTCTGCCAGGGTAGGCTCCAGCCCCACCCACTGCCCCCAGAACCTTTATAAAAGGAAGCTTCCTGCCTTGTCTTGGGGAGCAAGCTGCGCTCGTGGCCCTGCCCCCACGCCAGCCTGGACGGCCCCTGGGGCACTGACACTCAGCTGGCCTCAGGCGCCTCCTCCAGTCCCTCCAGACAGGAAGCAGTGCGGCCGCCAGCTCTGGGCTGCGGAGGCAGCTGCCACTCAGTGAAGCTGCACTGAGTGGGTGGCGCACCCTGCCACTGAGGGCTCCTCTGCTGGCCCTGGCCAGTGGGCAGCACAGCCAGCTCAGGAACTCCTGCCAGGCCCCTGTGGGAAGAAGCTGGCTGGAGACTCCTGAGCCTTTATCCCTGGCCAGTTACCCCTGGCTACCTCCAGGCCACCCAAGGGTCTAGGCTGAGAGTGTCGTCTGCAGCTGTGGCTCTGTGTGACCCTCTCAGCATGGACTCCCACAGACCCCAGGCCTGGTGGGGAGCTCCTCTCTAGCTCCCCTGGCTGGGGCCGGGGTTCCTGTGGAGAGTGGAGGAGATGTGCTGGTGGGGTGGGTAGGTGCACAGTGGCGAGCAGAACCCGACACATGTCCCCACGTGGTGCAGACTCGTCTCTTCCCAGCCGGCCCGGCAAAGTGCTCTCTCCTCTGCGTACCTCCCTCCGTCGTCCCTGTCCCTGGCCTCAGCACCAGTGGCTGTGTCGGTCAGCTCTGTCAGGCTCCGCAGCTGCAGCAGGACCAGGGTGGGTAGGTTTCTGGCTGAGCCTCTCTTTACAAGCAGGGTTTCCTAGTGGGGGTATTTGGAGTCCCACCACATGGCCTGGGGGAGGTGAGCAGGTTCTTGGGTGGCAGAGGCAGGCCACCCTGTGAGCCTCTCGGTGAGGGTCCACCTCCCCACCCATCCCCATCTGAGGGCCATGGGTTCCTCTCCGGGACAGGCAACTCTGCCCAGGAGAGGCGGGTGTGAAATGGCAGGAGGAGAGTAACACCCGTCTGTCCAGAGGGGCTGATCGGTGATGCTCCCTAGTCTTCTACGGTGCATTCTGGCCATTTCTTGTGTTGGCCCCGGGTGCAGGGCAGTGTGTGGTCCTTGCATCCCACAGCATTCACAGGCCCTAGCCAGGACACTCACCTAGAAGTTTGTTCTAGAAGGCAGCAGGACACGGCCTGGCCCAGACCTTCTGGACATGCCACTGGGAGCCACACGAGGGCGCTGGAGCCAACCAACTTGCTGGACTTCTCACCAGGACCGCCTTCAGAACCCCCAAAGCCAGCCTACCATGCAGGGTGTGCTCAGCAGCACACTGCTAGCTCAAATTGCACTCCTGGCCTCTCAGGTTTCCTGCAGGCAGGGCTGGGCCCTTCACAGGTGCCCTCACCCATCTCCAGGACCTGGGCATTGATTGACAGCTTCTGTGCTCAGAGCCAGGACCTGGACCCAGAGATGACCTGGACCATCTGCTCCCAGCATGCCCATGTTGGGGTGGTCAGGGTGGAGGGGGCACACGGTTGTCAGGGAGGGACAGTGGAGGTTATGGACACAGAGAGATGGGTAGATGGACGACTCTCAGCTCAGAGGCTGTCGCACTCCCAGCAGCCTGGGGCCAGGGTTGGATGCTGCAGAGGTTTGTTGATTTCCTAAGCACTCTTCTTGAACCTGAAGCACCAGAGTGTCCCCTGGCCCCATGTGGGGAGGGCAGGGCTGGGCTGTGACATGGCCAGAGGGCAGCTGGTCTGCCCAGCAGGCTGCTCTATCCTGGGTTCCCTCTCAGGACATTCGGGTGGCCAGGCTCCAGCCTGAGCGGGGGATGTCAGGAAGAGCAATCTCCATGCATTACACTGGAGTGTTCTGCTCTGTAATCCTGGCTCTCAGCCCAGGACCCCAACCCCGCCAGCCAGAGAAGGCACCTCTCAGGTCACAGCAAACACAGCACAGGAAGCTCCTGTCCTGTCCAGTGAAGAAGTTCCTTTCACCTCCAGTAGCTGTGGAAAAACTCCTTATTCTGGAATAGCTGTAGGTGCCGAGTTGCACGACTAGAGCTCAGAGCTCCTGCAGATGCTTCGCCCAGCTCTCCTGAGCTGGTTCCATGTAAAGCAATCATCACGCCTTCCAGAGAGCCGGTCAGCAGGCTGGACCAGGTCTGCCCATCCCCTACTGCAGCCCCCTTCCTCCTGCAGGGTCCACGCCACACTCAGACCACTGTCTCTTACTTTTCCTCCCCATTTCTACCTGGGCTCTTGCTAAGAACAGGCCATGTGTAGGAGGTTCCTCAACCTGTTTTGCCGGACACTTCCTCTTCCTCATGATTGGCACGAGGTCGGTGATGACCCTCAGTCCATCACAGGGTCAGGGCTGCGGTCAAGACGTTTTATCATTAGTGACATTATCCTTCATTCCTTCATTAAGAGGGAGCCTACTGGGTCCCCTTCCTAACAGGAGGCCTAGGTAATCATACACAGAGTAGGGGAGATACACCCAGGCTGTGCAAATACCCTTTCGTAAACTCTCACGCTCAGACTCAGCAGCACCCAGAGCAGAACTCCTGCAGTGAGGATCCCTGCCCGGCTGTCGGGGCTGCCAACCCTGCTCCTCCTGTCTCATTGAAGAAAACCTGTCCCTCTCCCTGTTCTCTTCTTTATTCAGTTCCTGATGTCTGCGTGGCAATTCATTTATGTTGTAGGTTACAAAGCCCCTGAGAGTTCCTTTGATTGGCACCTGTGTCCTCAACCCACCTCTTCCTTACCTGAGCACCTCCTGCCAGTGTCCCTGCTGCAGGCCTGGAACCCACCCCTCCCAGGGAGCACTGGTCCTTTCTGCTGGGGAGAGTGTTTAGAAACAGGACCTCCAGAGCTGGCGTGCTCTTTCTTGAAACGCGTTACAGAAACCTAGGCATCCACGTGTCTGTCTGTCCTCCACTTACCGTCGTCCCTCATCTCTCCACCCATCACGTATCTTCACCCGTCTCCATCCACCTGTCTGTATCTATCGATCCATCTGTAATCACCTGTGTCTGTCCATCGCTACTGTGAGAGGCGAGTGCACGATGCCCGGCTCTGCGCCACTCAGACAGAACCCACCCCACTCTCCCGGGTCTAACTTCTTGGTGGAGGTGGCGCGTGCTCCCACCCACACAGTGCCTGCTTGTTCCTTCATTGCCAGCACCCAGGCAAAGTTGTGCCAGCGTGGCTAACCGTGCCTGTCAGGGGCCAGTTCCGTGGGTAGGGTGGGGTGGAGTGGATGTGTGGCTGTGTCCCTGGCCTCAGTCTCCGGCAGAGACTGGAGACTAGCCAGGTCAGTCCCCACCCTCAGGAAGTCACGCTATCTGCTGGTGACCCAGCCAGTGTCCTTTGTTGTCCTTGCAAGGTGTTTTACCGCTGCCTGACAGTGGCAAGCTTCAGCGTGTGCTGTGTGGTGCTGGCCCTGGGTCTTGACCGCGCCCAGCACTCAGACCGCCACAATCTGGGCATGGACGGGCCAGTCCTCCAGACACTTCCTGCCACCCCTTGCCACCAAACCCTGCCCCTCCCCAGGCAGCCTGGGCCTGTTTTCTTCCCCTCCAGCCTTGCTGTTTCTGACTCGCATAAAAGGAACCTCATGGTGCATGTCCTCTGTGCGCCTATCAAAGCCCTCTTAGGTGGCTCTGAGCAGCCAGGGGCCAGCCCTATGTCCTTTCACCCCTGTGTGGCATTATTGCGCTTGGAGGCCTGTCCAGTCTCTACCTGGAGGTCACCTGGGTGGCTTCCAGCTTGGCTCAGTGTGACTAGAACTGCTGTGAGCATTTGTGTACAGGTTTTAATGTGAATGTGAGTTTTGGCTTTTGGTGTTGGTTTGGAGGATTGAACCTCGGGATGCTCTATCGGGGCTGCCAATACCCCAGACCTTTTTATTCTGACACTGGGGCTTGCTGAGTTGTGTAGGCTGGTCTCACACTTGCACCCCACCTGCTAGGATCACAGGTGTGCACCACACATGGATGGATTGTTTCTCTTAGGTAAAGACCTAGGATTGGATTGGGTTGCTGCATCCTGCGGTAAGCACAATCTTAATTTATAGGAAACTGGTTGCTGCACAAGCCCATCGACCCTTCACACGGTCACCTTTCTGTTTGTTCTTTGTTCTAGTAGGGAGGTGGCAACCTCTTATTTGGTTTTAATATCTATTGTTCCTGTGACTGATCATGCTGAGCGATTTTCTTTGGTGAAATATCTGTTCGAATCTTTTACCCACTTTTGGACTGAGCCCTATGGGGCCTGAGTCTCTATACATCCCCAACTCATGCATTAATCAGATGGACAGTTTAAACACATTCCTCCCAGGGGTTCTTTAGTCTTTTTGTTCCCTTAGAGTGTTTTATGAGCGGCAGAAGTACTTAATTTTGAAGAAGACTGATTTATCACCTTTCCTAATGGCTTTTTGGAAATCCCTGCCTTACTTGAATGTGGCTTCCTTCTCCTGGGCCTCCTTCTCCACTGTGTGTCTTTGTCTTACATGTGAAACAACTGTGATCCTTTTGAGCTGATTTTTGCATATGGGGCACAGTGCAGGTTGAAGTCCATTTCTCATGGGGTGGCTGATCCTCCGTGTCCTTGTCCCCCACCCTCACTGTAAAGAATTCTCCCTCTTGAATGAGCCTCTCTGCTTGGCTGGACAGAGCCCCTGCTCTGTGGTCAGCACGTCCTGGAGCACGTGTCCATGTTGCCACACACTGGGAAGCACAGGAGTGAGACAGTGGCCACTGCGCACCCATGCTGGC